TTCCAAGTGTGTTGGACTGGATGAAATTCCATCATTTATTATTAAGGGTTGTTTGGACATGTTTATTCCTTTATTAACACATATTTTTAATCTTAGTGTATCTTCTGCGACTTTTCCATCATTGTGGAAACAAACTGCTGTTGTACATATATTTAAAAAAAGGAGACAGCACTTGTGTTAGTAATTATAGACCCATTTATATTCTTAACAATTTTTACAAAATATTTGAATTTGTTATTTATGATCACTTCTCTTATTTTTTTAAATACAAACTTAATCCTGCCCGCATGAGCTTACAAAATTTAATTTTACTTCAACTAATTTGGTTACTTACTTAAACTCCATTATGTCCATTGTTAGCACACAAGGTCAAATTGATTCTATATACTTTGGCTTCAGTAGTGCCTTTGACATGGTTCCCCATAACATTCTTCTTTACAAGCTCGCCAACTTTGGACTTTCCTCTAATTTTGTTGATTGGATTTGTAGTTATCTTACCAACAGACATTCCTTTGTATATCGGAAATCTTTCGTTTCCTTGTTAAGTCAGGAGTGCCTCAAGGTTTTAAACATATTTATTAATGATATTTCAGACTCTCTTTCCAATTCCACTTATCTGTTGTTTGCTGACGATTTAAAGATATATCGTAATATAAGAAACGTTGTTGATTGTAAGCTGTTGCAGCATGATATTCATTCTGTGAAAAATTGCTGCCATAAAAATGGTATGAAGCTCAATTTAGGTAAAAATACGATTATATCTTTTACTCGTAAAACAAACAGCGTATATTTCAATTACAAATTATTATTACTTAGGCATATTTTTTAGCTCATTTACTTGTTAATTATTATGCAATAAATGAATGCAATTGAAATATTATCATTATTAATATTGTACATTTATATATTTAGTTGATTTGTTTCTTTTTGTATCTGTAACGTTTTACTTTTTTATTATTATATTTTATTCTGTATTTTTGTCAATGTTTGGCTGTTATTGGCCTTATTTGGCTGTCAAGCACTTAAATAAATGAATTGAATTATTTTTTTAAGAGTTACAGATATGCGAAGCTTAAGTAATAAGATATGCTGTGTTGATGTATCTGAAAATGGTTGTGTGCAGAAGGGGTGAGATTCCAGTAACATCAGTATAAAAGAGAATACAGATGACGTTTCCTAGGTAACATAACAATGAAGTTAAACTCTTTCGTTTCCCTTTTTCGTAACACATTTTTGCCGAATGACCCTTCCTCATAGACGTATTTACGTCAAATTGTGACTGCTGTAGTCAGTGTACCTGATTCTTTTAATGCCACGTGACCTAAACCAAAGACATTTAAAGGTGTTCCTTGACTAAATTCAAAGGCGAAGTTGTGCGGGCTTTGTTTCATCATTATTAGAAGTTTTCCTTATCAAAAAAGGACAACCAGTCAGTGGCATTGAACGTTCAAATTCGTGACGCAAATTTCCAGGCAGTTGAATCAGCTAAATACCAAACCTCATGGGAAATTCCAATTTGTAAGTAAAATGAACAACAATGCCTTGCCCTTCTGGGGGTAATTACAGTTATTTCATTCACAGCTGATTCATAATTCTTGTCACTTTCCAAGCTGCTAGAAAATATTTTATCAATAAACACAAGACGAGTCGTGGTTGGTGTGGTGGATGAACGCACTCAACAATTCCAGCAGCCATATGCAATTGTCTTCGTGCGTACACTTCCGTTTCAGCAGAGCATTGTTCTCAACATTTCTGAATATCTGATAGTCATTCAGGAGCATCAAAACAAGATGCTGAACCCATTCTGCAGTTTATACGAATTGATCTTGGCCCATATCTAAAAATGCGACTGTGGCTTCTTCCTAAAGACAAATATCCGAATCTGTGGCAGGGGGCAGCCGATTGAAAAAGATATATTTGGAAGCACGTTTTTGAACTGGCAGTCTCTCATAAAGCTGAATAAATGTACACGAGGAAACAGCTGACAGAGAAGAAGCGTCAAACCGGAAGTGCAACACTTGGGTTTTCATTACAAATAAACACCCCATTTTTATAAAAATAACAATTTTATTAAACATGTTTTAACATACATTAAAAATATTTAAAAGTAGCTTATTTTCCTTGAAAAGTAGATCTTGTACGACGTTGCATATTCTTCTTCAGCCGGCGGGGCTGGCCTTCCCTGTTAAAAGAAAACAATAATTAAAGAATATGACGAAAGTTAAGTCCTTGTCAGATTTACAAAGTAAATGTTTTATTTAATGCATAATTTACTCAGACATTAAGACGCTACCCTTGGCGGTCCGTGGCCTAGTGGTTATTGTCCTTGCCACTGGACCTGGACCCACAGTTTGCGGGTTCAAACCTGGTCGAGGGTGATAAAAATCCATACTACAACATCCCCATGTCTTAGATTTACAAAAGGTAAACCTGCAAGCATGAGAGAATTAATGCTGTTCAGCAAAACTCAGCGGCTGTGTTTCTCACTCACGTGTATCCTGATCCCTATTACATGGCTCTAGCAGATAAAAATCAGGATTGACTAGAAATTGTGCGGAGGCTTGGCTGGTCACTCACTAC